AAAGCCGCAAAAAAATTTTTGCGCTCATTTCGTTTAAAAAAATTTTTTTCTGGGGGGCTGATAGGCTGTCAGCCAACCCCCTCCACTTGTTAATAACAACCGATTTGGAAAAACAAATACACAAGATTTATGCACTATTTATGCGCATTCATATTCACATAGTTTCAATTCTTGCGCTGCATCCCTTAAGGGAGTCGCCTCATGTAACCGGTTCAAAAAATAAAAAAAATTTTTTTTGCTTTAATCGATAGTGGTACATGTAGAAATTATATTTCCAAAGTTACAGAACGAAATTCGAATAAGTTAGGAAGCTACAGCCCATTTATGATGCACAGATACTAACTACTACACAGATACTAAAAACTTTAAACGCGTTTTTCTTGAAACTAGTTTTTTTGAAACTGGCGGGAAAGATAATTCAAAAACTATTCGATCGATCGAGTTGTCCCTGTGTACACACATTGTTTAATGTCATAATTTGTCGATAAACCTATAAATTTATAAGTAAAATAACTAATTAAAACAATTGTTATTGCATAAATAAATTGAAATTTTTGAGGTAAAAATCGTACTTATGTCTTTAAAGTGCCGCTATTTTGTTAATTTTCAACTTTTAACTTATTTTCTAGATTCATCGACAAGGTACTGTCATACAAAATAAGAAACCATTTTGTTTTTTTGTTTTAGATAAATATAAAAGGCGTTAGATTTCCCGCCGATTTACGATTCCGGCGACAAGGTTGCGTCAACATTTATTTAGAAAAGTTGCAAAATGAACTATATTGAAATAAAAAAATTTTTGTTGTACTCTTTAATATATATAGTAAAACACCAAAAATTTTTTTAACGATCCATTGCATACCTTAAAATAAAAAAATTCCTAAAAATGACTTTCTTTTTAGCGATTTACGTGAACTGACCCCCTTAAGGCACTTGGAAAGGCTCCGATTGCACACATGCGTCGCTAATTGGCCAATTTAAAAATAAAATATTCTCATTGGTAAAGCAGTAAAAAATTACTAGGCACCAGCTGATATGAGTGGTGTGAGCAATCGGGATTGTAGGCAAACGGATCCTCCCCAAAATATATCTTCGATTTATGCGCTATTATTTCCAAGCAATTTCGATTTTTGTGCTGCAACCCTTAAGGGACGTCCCTCTTGGAACTGATAAAAAAAATTCTCTAAATTTCTCTGAAAATTTCTTTAAAAAAGTCAGAAAATTTTCTTGAAAATTTCTTTAAAAAAGTCTGAAAATTTTCTTGAAAATGTCCGCGTTTTTGAACACGTTGCAGAGCTTTTCAGAGAATTTTCTAATATAATTTCAGAGATTTGTCAGAATATTTCAGTAATTTCTAAAAATTTTTATAAATTTTTTTACAGTATATTCGTAGACTTTCAGAATTTGTCAGATTTTTAAAGATTTTCAATGCGATACTCGAAAACAAATTCATATTTTGAGACCTATAAATTTGATTTCTAGTTTTAACAAAAGTTATATGTAACACGATTTTACTTGAAATTATTTTGATAAACACAGTTACCTAATGAAATTCAAACCTGGGACCTCTGGATTATGAGTTTCTTGCGTTATGTGTTTCTTCAATTGATTTATTATCTATTTAAGTTTCAAAGATATCGCTGAATTTCCAAGAAATTCAGAGACTTTCAGACCTTTGAAAATGATTTTCAAAAAAATCCTCTGAAAGCCTCTGAAAAGTGAGAAACTATGGAAATTCTTTCTTTAGAGATATCAATAAATTCCCGAATTTCAACGAAATTCAAAGACTACTTAGAAATGATTTTTAGAGAATTCGTTGAAAGTCTCTAAAAAGTGAGAAACTATAAAAATTCTATCTTCAGAGACATCACTAAATTCTCAAGTTTTAACGAAATTCAGAAGCTTTCAGACACTTGAAAATAATTTTCAGAAAAAGCGCTAAAGAAACCGGATTTCCGCAAAAAATGTTAGTTGCGTGAACTTAGAAAAATTTCAAAAGTTGAATCTTCAAAGCCCTAGAACTTTTTAGATATCGGTTTCAGCGCATCGGTTATTAAAGATTATCGTTAGAATTCTTTGGGGGGCTGTCAGAATTCATTACAGGATGCCGAAGATCTAAAAAAAGGTTTTTTTTTTCAATAATTAATTTTTTTTGAAAATTTTTTTTGGAAATTCATTATTTTCTTGAGAGTTCTGGTTGCCCCCCAAGAGCTCTAACGATTATCCTTAATAACCGATGCGCTGAAACCGATATCTAAAAAGTTCTAGGGCTTTGAAGTTTCAACTTTTGAAATTTTCTATTCAGGCGCTAGAACTTTTTTGTTTTCGATCTTAGCTGTTTCATTATTAAGGATTATCGTTAGAACTCTTTGGGGGGCTGTCAGAATTCATTACAGGATGCCGAAAATCTAAAAAAAGGTTTTTTTTTCAGTAATTAATTTTTTTTGAAAAATTTTTTTTTGGAAATCCATTATTTTCTTGAGATTTCTGTTTGCCCCCCAAAAAGTTCTATCGATTGTTCTATATGGATAAAAGTTCTAAAATGAATGGTAAAGAAGTTATAGCCCTTCAAAGTTTCGGAATCGTGAAGTTGGCCCCCCCGATATTTCAAATGGTGTTTTCACCCCTTTAATCGACGGAATTATTTCTAAAATTGATAGAGAACTCTAGAACTCTTGGGGGGGGGCAACCAAAACTCTACTTATTTTTTCAATTTTTGGAAAAAGTGGGGCCGGCTTCACAGAGGTCTAAAAATCCCTGAAAAATATTTTCAAGCATTTGCAGTGAAATTTTCAAAGACATTTTTTCACTAAGGTAGAGATCTCCGCAATCTCTCTTATCGACCCTTAAGTCTAATTGGTTGATTAAATGTTAACTGTGATTTATTCAATTCTGTTGAACAGAAAATGCGATTGGTCAGTTCCAATGTAATAATCAGTCGATTAAGTTAATCGGAGTTGATGAGACCGGTTCAATGTGTTGGAAACCGTGTGATATATTAAAACCCGTTTCTACTAATGTAGATTATTAACTTTAATCTCGATTCAACTTTACTCCTGATCTTTTTCTAATTTTTAGAAAAAAATAGACGTTTTAAGAATTAGAAAAAGAGGGAGAGTGTTAATTGTAAATCGAGATAAAATTAAACTGCAGTGATAAAAACATTGAACGTTGATTAATTTAACCAGAAGTTGGTGAGAGAGGCCTTTACACCAGCGCACCTGTCTATGTTTTGCTATGGAAGTTAAGTACCATGTCTATTTTACAATGAATGTGGTGTATGTCCGGCTAAGGGCTTCTTTCATCAACTTCTGATTAAATCAATCGACAATCTCGTAAAAGTTCCAACAGCCTTTTAATATATCAGAATATCTCCTCTCTCTTTCTCTTCTGAGATAAATGGTTTAATTCTAATAATCGCGATGATTGAGTTGACCCTCAATTAGCGTTAATCGGAGTTGGTGAAAGAGACTTTAATAAGAGCTGCCAAGAAGAGGCTCTTATTAACACCGACATGCTTCATATCCATTTTCGACACTACAATTTTATCGATAGTTTCATAAAATAACCATGGTACATAGATCCCAAATTACAAAAATGGACATTAGTACACATAAGCGAAAAAGATTTGCTAATATGATCACTCTCAAGTTTCTTTCTGGTTCGAATGATAGCAATGCCGGTAATGCGTCGTTTGATTCGAAGCTTGGTGGGATGTACAATTTGGGATCGTCACTCCGAGAAACTGAACGCGATAGGATTATCAATATAAATACGTTTATTTTTAGAATTTCTAAAATCAGTCTTTCAACCCCATTTACTAAAATTGCAGTCTATTATTCTTTCCGACATAACGGGCTGCAAAGAAGGTGGTAAATAAGGATAATCGATTAATTTTGACGGTGTGTTCCACATTAAATGATTAAGATCCTCGGTGTCGCTCGAGTCGATTACATTCTCAAAATATTCCTTGATAATATCTTCTGAATTTGGCCAACCATCCCTAGGTTGAGCTGTTGAGACTTTGGATTTTTTCATCTCAGCTAGAAAAAATTTATCTACTGAAGATTAACGTTTTACGTGGCAATAATAGGATGGTCGATAGAATAAATAGAATAATTACAGTTTATCCAAACAAACTTGCATAATTGTATAAAGAAAATTACTTAATTGCATTTCTGTCATAAGAATGCACGTAAAATACGATTTGTTAATTTTCTTTATGTATGTTTATGCGATTATGCAAGTTTGTCTGGATAGACCCTTACCAAGCTGTTGAAGTTCCCATATCATTGGTGGTGTGTAATGTGAAAATCGACAACCAGAACCAAACGCACAATCTCCAATGGTCAAATAGCGTTTACATGGAGTTTTGCAGTATTCTTCCTTTAATATCGTTTCTGGGTCTAAAGACATTAATAATAAATTAGTGCATTATAATCTGATTAATTATATGCAAGTACAAGAGGTTATATAACATATAATGGCACTAAACAAAGAAATAAGAAAAATATTGTTTAACGCTTACCTTTAAATGTGCTGTAATGACTCGCTCGATTTGTCATGTGCTGCATACTGGATAGATGCTTTTTACGAGCTTCGACATCATCTTTGAAAGATCTGTCACAATAGTCGCAATAGTATGTCTTGCCCATTGATGTATATGATTATCTTGTAGGAAGAATACAAATTCTATCAATAGTTACATTATATTGCACGACAATTGAATAAATATATTCAACAATAGCATGTATTCAAATATGAACCATCCTCAAAATGTATAAAACAAAACAAATCAAAATCATTACCAGTGTTGATAACCTAGAAGCAGTGTCCGACCGTACCAGGGCCGAAAATTATTGTATCTAACCCAGAATTATCGTACATACATACATCGCGCGCGCGCGCGAACAAAATTTAAATACGAAATATGTAAAATTTTAATCCGTAATTAAGACGGTCAGAAATAACAATTTTATTCATTACTTAACGTTGAAGTGACTTAGGCTGAAATCAGCTTCCGAAATAGATCAGAAATTTCTCGATCAATTCTCAACCGATTTCGCTGAAATTATCCATTATTCAGCACTTTATAGAAGCCCCTTAATACACGATCATTGAAACAATAACCGATATTTTTTATTGATTTCAAGAGCTTAAACATTCTATAGAATAAATTGTATTTCTATAATATCCAGGTGAAAAATACAAATTGGAAAATGATTATTTCAGTATATTTAAAACAATTTTAAAAGAAAGAAACGGTACAAATGTGGCTTTTTACATATGTTGACAGTAGACAGTAAGTTCACTTGTATTGTCAATATCACAATTTTTTTATGTATATAGTATACATATATATATTTTTTCGTATTTATCGTAGTAGCATCAATTATAGTCATTTCACTTCACAGATTAAGCCACGTGACTAGAACGATAAATCTTTGATAAGACTAAACAATATATGACTTGCAGATTATAAACGAACACACTTCAAAAAGAACAAATAATATTTAAAATTCATATTTAATTTCTATGATTTTTAATAAATAACGAAATCATCCAAGTCATTTAATTCATCGTCTTCTTCAATGCCTACTCTGCTGATAATATGTATATAAAATTAAGAGAGAAGCGTAATAAGTCAGAAATATAAAATTATCGTATTTTAGGCGTACGATAATGAAGTGCTATCGTACATCGTACGTGTAAATAAAATTATCGTATGTGTACGATAATTATCGTACGGTTACCAACCCTGATCATTACAAATAAGTTAACTAGAGCAATAAGTTTATTCGCGTTGCTTAAAATCCCTAAAAATATTTGTACTTTAAACGAGATAAATATATATTCTAGCATTAGAAAGAGAGAGTAAGCGAAGACTCTGAGTGCAAAAAGTGCAAGTAATACGAACAGACCTATGGTCTGTTTTCTGTTCCTGCACTAGACTGCACTAGAACTCTTTCTCACTGTCGATAAATATTGAACGTATACCTTTCTCACTTTAAGTTCCAAAAGTGTACACTAGTTCAGCCATAGAAAACAGACCTCTAAGGCCGGAATCAGACTACGCATTGAAGAATGAGATTAAAGATTGAAGTTTCACCAATCAGAACAAAAGGAGTCAGAATTTCTTTGTCCTCATTGGTGAAATTTCAATCTTTAATTTTCAATCTCAATCTTCAATGCATAGTCTGATTCCGACCTTAGGATCAATCATATTATTTTTTCTCCTAGAGCAGAAATGTAAAAAGTTAAAATCATCTAAATATATCGATGCATGTGTATACATACATACAATTTTCACTTTTCACATTTCCATATCAACGAAAAAACTCTTCATGATTGATCTCCCTAATATTATTAGGCAAGCCGCTTTTTTCGGGCATGCGCATTATAGTACTAGGAAGATTTAGTAACGTATATAAGTGAAAAGATAAAATATTTATAATTTTGGCGATATTTTGCAGCAGAAAGATAAGGAACCTAGAAACCCTAGGCTAGGATGAAAAAGTATAAATTATTTTATTTAATTTTATAATTTTTTTATTGGTTTTCTAAAAATTTTTATATAATTTTTATAGAACGTCAAAACAGAGCTCCTACAAGATCCGTATAATTTAGAATTTAATACTGCAGTGGTACTATAATATATATACTTGAACTCTTATGAGCGAAAAAGACGGCTCGCCTATAAAGCCTTGTGTCCACGATGCTATAGAAATCAGTCTAAAATCTTGGATGAAGAAAAAATTGACTATAATCACTGGTCATGTGACCAAATTATTCAAATGTAATTCGTTAATTCTTTCTTCAAGATCTGGATGCAATTTCTACCATTGTAGACACAAGATAACAATCTGTACTTACTGAAGACCCAAGATACTACCATAACGACATCTAACAATGAGAGTGTTATACTAATCGCAACTTATTTTCAAGTACACATCAGGTAAGAAAAATGCATTTTTTTTCCACACATTTAAAGTTAAAAATCTTAATTTAATTATTTAATATTACATGAAAATTTTATTTGCTAATATAAATTAAATTTATATTAACTATTTTTATAAATAATATTTTTGGAAAAACTTTAAGGATGTCATCAATTGCAATATTAATAAAAAAAAACATTTTATGTATCTATCGAAAAAATCCAAATTAACATTGAACAATTTTTTTTAATTCATGTTGATAAACAAATGAATTAATTATATAACATTAAACACAACCCAGTAATCAGCAATAAACAGTAACATATCAATTTCACACTCAACAATATAAACGTAATATATAACATATGTAATATGTAACAATTATCTTGTTGAGTGTGTTGTTATACATGTTATTGTTAGTTGGTGATTACTAAGATAAAGCTATTAGGAATTATATTTTTGTATAAAAGAAAGATAAATTATTGTTATTACATAAGTCATTATTGGACATTGTAATGAGATCTTTGGCAAATGGTTATATTCGTTATTACGTTATCGAATTTGGATTAAGTCCAATTGATTGAGTTTCCTGATATTTAGATTTCAGTTCGTACATTTAGTAGGTATGTATTTTAAATAAACGGATTACATTGTAATGTACCGTCCGTTTTAGCGCGGTACGATCGTTTTATTATATTCTTACAATATATTTTACCACAACTTGTTCTTGTGCACCGCTAAACTATTCATACGTGGTAAAGTAACGTATCGACAAGAATGTCTATTATCCGTCGCAACGTTCTCTCCTCTTTCTATACATTAATTCAATACAATAAATATTCTTCATTCACAATATTCACTCCGACATAAACTAGATGACGTTACTCGATGATAGATCATTTTCGACGATACCAAAGCTTCGCTTTAATTTTCTACAAGCGACAATAGATAACCTATAGGTATTGCGTAATCGCGTGATTCAAGATAATATTTGTTTATAAATTCGAAATTGGTAAATAAAAAATCGTGGATGTAACTACGAGAATGGAAATCGGAAATATCCACGAGAATTTTTGCAGGAAATTGGTCGCTATCGCGAGTTCGAGATTTGATCTTAGAAGCTAAAAGTTAATGATACCGGATATAGGATATAGGAATCGGGAATTGAAATCAAATATTGGATATCGGGAATTCAGACATGCTGTTCGATTATATCTGTTTTTATATGCTTGCTATTGAACAATAGCTGCACGTACCATTGCAATCAATATCAATCGCGCAAGAATATCGCGTAAAATAGTACATTATATTCGAGGAAATTTCAATATTACCGCGATATGTTTACTTATATTTACTTGTACAATGACTAAATTTGCGAAATTTTGTTACAATATATACGTGTAATTATTGCTCATAGTCAGCGTTAAACGTGTAATACAGGAATGTCGCGTAATATTATTTAATACGCAATTCGTCAGCATCTTCAGCAAAATTGGTATAAATATCGGTATAAATTACAAATGTAAAGTAGAAAAACACGTGGATGAACGTGAAAATAATAAATTCGCAGTACCCTGCTTTGTGGACGAATAAAGCTAGCATTGAAGAATAAACAATTATTTGAGTAGTTCAGTTGCTGCTTCGCTACTTCGTATTATGCACCTTGAATTGCTTACTGATCGATCGTTGCTATGATCACATATAAGAAGTGATTGATAGCATACACAAGTGAATCTTTTTAGGCCTGATAAAATAAATTCTCATTTCAAGGATACATTGATACGTTAATTTATATGAAAAATGGACTAGATTGCAACAAAGTTGGAGGTAGCTGTCGATATTTGGGAAAAATTGGCTATATTACATTAAAGAAAACTGTAAAAAATTATAGCAGAATTTTAACTTTGGTATAAGAAGGTTTTGAGCAAGTAAAGTCAAAATTATATTATTAATAAACCAGACTCGCGCGTTATCTTGACAAGACTCTTTAACCTTTTAAGCAACTATAAGTTCTGTATATATATATATATATATATATATATTGCGCACGCTTTTAATCGATGCAGTAGAACCTCGATTAATGATTACTTTATAATTGTTTCATTATTGACAATAGGCCGATGAGTCGTGCATTCATTTTTAACTATATTATTTTAAATGCCTTCTGCACAGTAACATATGCAAAGCATCTGAATAGATCATTTACGTGAAATAAATAATATCGGAAAAATTTTAATAAGAAATATTACAGATTTTAATATCAATAATATTTTTAATATATCCACAAGTTTTATTTTGAAGCATTAATATGCAAATTTCTGCGTCAAATAGAAGTTCTACTGCATTAATAACATAAAATACTACAATAATAAAATACAATATCTTTTGTGTCCAAAAGTTTGTAAAATTATTTGAAAGTTTGGAACGTTCTCTTTCTTAATTCTTTTTATATATAATTATAATAATACAGGAAAGATGTTTCTAAATTTATAGTCCCTCTAAGTATAATAAGTCGAATAGTATGATGGGACTAATTATCAGTTTATTTTGCCTTTAGGTCAATACTTTTTTCCAAACTCTCAAAGGAGAAGCAATCCTACACATTTTTACACTTTCCACATTTAAAATAAAACAGATATATACGTGTGTATGTATATATATATATATATATATATATATGTATATACACACACACACACACATACACACGTATAATATATATATATATATATAAACTTTTTATAAGAAGGGAAAGTGAAAGAGAAAAATAAAAAAAGAAATTGTAGGAAAATGTAAAAAGTGCAGTCAAGAAATATACTTTTAGTTATCACATTCCATTTCAACAATAAATTAGGAATACAAAATAAAATCGTGCTTTAAATATTTGTGTATCATGATAAAAAAATATTCGAAAAACAGA